AAATGCCGCCTTAGTAAGGTGGCACAACAGCCAATGGGAATCGTTCTTGGATGGCTCCGCAGGTGCAACAGCACTGACCGATAAAGATGCTTTTACGATATTTGGCCAGAAGGACGCTTGGCCAAATTGCCACTGGCCCCTCTCGCTCTTCATGCCCTGCCATTAATACCGGCAATCAGCACGGCGTTCATAGTTGTCAGCGCACTGCATCATTGTTACTAACTTCAACATCGGAACTGGTGACCAACAGCCGCTTAATCACGCCATCATTACCAGCAACCCTCTCCTAATAGTAACTGATTTCGACGCAGCGACGACCCAGCGACTGGGGCGTCGACCCCTCCCCGCTCGAAGTACGAGGGCGGCGTCGACGACGTCCGGCGCTTTAGCTCTGGCCCCAGTCCGGCCCGGCGCCACGACTTGCCCCACCTAATGGTACCGCAAACTCTTCAAGCCGCACCCAGGCATGACCCCCTTCCCGTCGACGGTCACAACACCCAACTCCGGGCCTCAGACCGATCCGCCAGTACACGCTCACGCCGCCTTTCCCCCCTCCAGCCCCCGCCAGCCATATCCCCTTCCTCCCAACGTTGGCCGCGCCACACACAAATCAATGCTCCTGTGGTCGCACGCCCCTGGACAACACCGCGCCGCTTAAGGCGGACCCGTGAGCCTCGCCGCCTTACGCCAGCGTCACGTACAGTACAACAAAACCTAACACGTGCCCAAAAGGGGCGCTGGGGGGCCGATGTCGACCGCGCATGTCCTTCCCCACGTAAGCTACCTCGCGGGGCACATTTGCGTCGTATCGGCCCGCCAACGAATGACCGTTTCACTGCCGCCCCACGGTCACTGAAGCGCCACACCGCCACCACACCCACCTGGCGGGCCGCCAAGCCGCCGCCCCGCCGCCCTCCTGCAGCATCCGGCAGTCCTGAATCTGTAGGCACGAGCCGCGTTGGTACCGGCAGCCAGCCCGGAGAGCCATGCAGGGCTCCGCTGAACAGTACGGTGATGTGTGCGCCGGCCGCACCAGGAGAGCGGCCAGGCTGGAAGAGGCGCACTCAGGTGGGGGCAGAGGAACGCGCTGTGGCCATTGTTTGGCGTTTTGGGAGCAGGGAGGTGAATAAGGGACGCGTTAGGAAATGGCGGGCAAGCGCGAGGCGATGGGCGCCTGTGGAGCGTCTTCGCGAAGGGGAATGTCCGTCGCAGGGCGTGGGCGATAGATGCGCGGGGGAAAATCGGATCCAGGCGGTCGGGCGCGACCCTCCGAGTTGTTTACTCCCTTCGTGATCCTTCGACCGGACTCGAGCTCGGGGCGCCGAGCGCCTCGACGCGCCCCGCTCCTGCGATCCTATAAACCCTGATGGCCCCGATTTTGGACCATCCAGGAGCGCGCAATACGCGCTCGGCGGCAAGCGAGTGGGGGAACATCATTTTCGTCCACGGTCGCCGGAGAAGGTGGCTGAGGCCTTGCGGCCGTCCGCGGCGCGCTGCCGGCATGCGCTCTCGTTGTACCGACATCGATCGGCTGCCTTTCGTCCAGGCGCGATCAGCGGCGCATGCGGGCGCCAGTCGGACCACGAGGCCTCCTCTCGCCGATCCGCGCTTGGGCGCCAATCAGTCACGCCGGCCCCCTTCTCGCCACAGTTTCTTAGCCGTAGTTTAGCGCTGTAGTGTGTCCGGGGGGGCGTGTGACAGGGCCAGCCGTGTCGTGGGGATTGTACAAAGCATGCGCACTTGCGGTTGGGCGAGCACATCAGGCGACTTGGCACGCGGCCCACGGCACGCGCCGATGGGCGGGTTTCAGCGCCTCTGGGCAAAGGGTTCCGCTGTTTTGAGCGAACGGGGTCGGTGCCGGCGGCCGATGAGTGCCAAGCGGCTCTGAAATCTTCGGCCGACCGCCTGCTTGCTGCTGATTGTTGATCGACATTTCGCCGTTGGCCGGTCGCCGCAAGGGGGAGGGAACGCGCGTCGTCTCGTTATCCGCGGGAATGCCCTCGGCGTCGATGAACGCGAGGCGGCGGAGGGGTGCATCGCGGTGTGGCGCCAGAATCGTTTGCCCGAGACGTTTGTTTGAAATCGCCTTTGACTGAGGAAGCGGTGGCCATGGGCCGTTTATAGGCGAGTATGGCGCCGCTCAGGCCGGTGCAACGATATGGCTACGGGGCGTCGCACCGGCTCGCGCGTCTCCCATGGAGCGAAGAGCAGTATTCGGGGGAGGGGAGGCGGCGGGCGGTGCTTTCGATACGCATCCCGGTCCTTCCTGGTCCTTCCCTGGCTTCGTTGACTTCAGTACCCCAAAACATGGAAGTCCGCTCGAATTCCTGCTGGAACGGGCACAGTATGCGTGTACAAAAGACCCCTCCCCACCGAACAGTTCAATATTCGATCGCTTCTTCGCGGCCGGCGTCCGATGGGTCAGTGGCCTTGATGGATGTGCCAAAGTGTCTGGGAGAAGGATCCACCGCTGGGTTCGTCCTGTGAACCGGGGCACTGAAAAGGGGGTGGCGGTGGCTGGGGTTGTGGCGCGATGGGGCGCCCTGTTGTCGCCGGCCTGGGAAGGAGGGGAGGGGGACAGGGTGGGTCGCCAAGAGACTGACCTGATGGGTCTCTCAAGGTTGACGACGGTGCCATAACCTTGAGTCAGGCACCTCTGATCAGCGGCTAGGTCCCCATGTCGCCCGGGCCAGGCGATTCCGCGAAATGACCGCGATTGAAACGGCGCTGCCGTGTCGCTGACCGCCGTTCCGTGCAAAAACCAATCCGAAGGGCGGCGGGCGTGCCCACCGCCGTAGCGCTGGCTGCATTCCTTGCGTTGCGACAGACCCAGGCACGGCGGACGCCAGCGTTGTGCAACGACAAGGCGGTCGCCCGCTGGTGTTCTGCCTCTTGCCCGCCGAACCAGTACTTTGCGAACAGCGCTAGCGGAGGAGCTTGTCCCCAGGGCGGTGCCACTGCCGGACGCCCCTTTCCTCGGAGCAGCGGGACGGGGTCGATGTGATCTTGCCCGTCGATCGTTGGTCAGCAGCGTGGGTCAGTGCGCTGGGTCAGTGGCGTGGGGCAGTACCTTGGGCCAGGCCGCCGGCCCAGGTACGTTGCCTGAATGCGGAGATCTGCACTGGCGCGGTGAGTGGGGCCCAGCGACCGGCAAATTGACCCAGATCCGTGTGTCAGTACACACTGGGACCCAGCGTTGACGCATATTGCTGGCCCACGGAACTGACCTAATGATTGGGTCAGTACCGTGGGTCAGTAACAGTCGTCAACAGCGTGTGTGGCGTTGGCCGCTCCATGGCACTCGGGTGGAGGAGCGACTCTGCGGTTGAACGTTGGCCTGCGATTTGACTGGCACACGCTTGTGGACTGTCAACGCATGGCCTTGGAAGCGCAGTGGGGTGGATCAACACAGGACCGCACCAGCGATTTGTGGCAAATTACGAATGACAAGTCATCAAGCAATGACTATACTGATGTAACACGACATTGTGGCGTGCAGTACCGTAAGGTTTCCAACCCTTCCGCATAGCACGGTAACGCTTGGCCTTTTGTTGCGGACAAAATAGTAAAACAAATAAAACTCTCTTAATAAATTTTTGCGCAGCAACGTAGATACAATAATAATGCTCCGAGAAACAAAACCGGAGCAAAAAGCGTAACGGTCAGATTTCTGATGCGCAAAGGTTTGAAGCCCTATGGTACTTGCAATCAGCTGCCTGTGAAGTCTCAGGCATAACGCAGGAAGTGCCATTGTGCATATGCGCTTCAGCAGCTGCGCATCGCACAGTGCCTCGCTTGTCCGACGCTTGTCCGGTTTTGTGCATGGGACCCTCAGGACCGTGGGCCGAATCGGGGCAGTGCGTTCAGTCCTGGCCGCGTCTTCGGCCGCTTCCCACCAGCGCACTGACTGGGACATCCCTTTCGCCTCTCCCATTTACATCCACTTTGACCCCTTCCTTCTACCTCGTTCCAGCCAGTGCATTGGCAGCCAATTCTTCTGCGAAAAATGGCACAAAGCTCAGGATTAATCTGCTTTTTGTGTTTTTGTCCCTTTTTCCCTTTTGTGGATGGATCATCCCACTTAACGCCCCCATTTTGTGTTGCAGACATCGCGCAGCGGCTGCGAGCTTCCACGTGCGACGACGCCACCCGCGGCAGCAGGCTCGAGAGAGTCCTTGCTGCGCTGAAGCGGGCGACGTGCTCGGCCGCCACGTCCCTGTGCGGGGTCGCCACCCCTCGCTTCGGCCGGACCGCCGATCCTCGGGGCGCCTTGCCTCCGATGACCGTGCAGGAAAGGATGGCGGCTTTGGGAATCGAGGCTAGCGTTCCTCGAGGCGCAGTGCCCGGGGACGCGTTCCAAGAAGGTGGGGATATGGCTGACCGCCACGTCGAAGAACGACCCATGCGCGCAGATTTGTGCACTAGCCCTCGCGCTTGCAGCTGGCGTTGTCGTTCTTTCTTCTGCGTGCGTTGGCGCGAGAAGGAGGCGAGAATGGCGCCGGAGCATACCCGGCAGCAGCCCTGTCCCCAGAAATGCTTGTCCTAATGACAATATGGTGTCAAAATGTAGATTTGAATGCAGAATATTGTGCAACCAGTTTGCCCACCGCCCGGCGGCTGCATGTTGCCGGGACCAGTCTGAAGGGAAGCAGCTGAGACCTGCATAAATTGTGCGTGTGCATGCGATTATGTTGGCATAACATTGAACAGTGCTGCGCCAACCATCACTCCATTCCCAAACTCGACACAGCTGATGCACCTTGCGATGGATGTTGTTCTACTGGGACAGAAACAAAGCGCAGTTACTCCAAGGCGAACTCGTCCGCACGGATAGTTCAGCTTCAGCAGTTAACAGACAGCACGTTGACAATTTGCCCCGCTTCAGCCCTGCTGAGTCTGCTTCAAAATGACCACGGCCCCACACCAGCAGTGCAATGCATGCGGTTGCCGAGACGCGATAGGGCACGTTCAGCGCGCTTGAAAGGATATTGCCCTGCCTGATGGTGCTCCTTGGCGCGGCCAGAACCGTGCCACCAACCGGAGGCACGCAGTCCCGTTTCCGACGCGGCCGAGGCAGACCCTCTCTGCTCGATCGCATGTGAGCTGCGCTGCCCAGGCGACGACGTCCACCGGGAAAGGCAGACCGGCGGGAGGCCGCACGTGGAGGGGCCGGTGGTGAACGAATGGACATTGGAGCGCGCCGCGCCGGTGGTCGAAAAGGAAACTAAGAAAAGGTGCGGGGGCTGATTGAATGCATGAATGTACCCTTACAGGTTAAACAATACGAAAATTTGGCAGCAGTGTCCGTCACACAGCAGCGTGGTCACGTGTCGCCTTGCAAAGTCCAGTAGTCTTTCACATTCACACGTGTCACCCTTACTAAATTTTTGAGGTACAGGGCCTGCTTTACGCCCCCGTCGCCTGAAGTGCAGCGGATAGCTTTCGATTCGATGGAATCGGCGTCGACATGGCAGATGCGCAGATGTTCCAAAGCGGAAGCGCCGACCTGTGTGGGGCTTGCCATTGGTCGAGATGTCATTTGAGGACTGCGGCGGGCTGAGGAGCGTGCTGCACTCTACATCCCGAGTCGTTTCGCTTCTGTGATTGACGCGTCCTGTCCACAATCTGCTCCCCTATGGGTCCCCGGACTTACTGAAAGAATGAACAAACGTTAGACAATAGACGATAAATGATAATAAATAACAAATGCATATGTAGCATGATGCTAATTGGGGCGTGTTTCCTTGCGAACAGCCCTCGCACCGCCCCTGCCGTCAAGCGAGGCACCCTCCGCTTCCAGTTCGAGGATCCCGCCAGGCACAAAGGCGTGAACGGTCGCCTGACTCTCAGCATTCTGAGGCTGCCGAAGGACGCGGCCATGGAGGTCTGCCAGCTGTTCGAGAGGTGGCGGCATGAGGTGGCAAGGATGAGCGCTCAAAGGGGGCGTTTAGATCGGGTGCGTCATCTCATGGCAGAGTTGCGATATCGAACGATTGCAGATGCTTCGAAGTGAGCGTCGGCAAGTGGTGCTCTTTGCGGACTGTTGATTTTGTTATAGCAATACGGAGCCTTGCTTTGCGAGCCGCCACTGGTCGCCATCCAATTTGTTGAATCTCCTGGTGCGTTTCGTGAAATCATCGTTTTCCGGAATACGCAAGAGCATCAGCATTTCAGTTTGTGCACCTTACCTCAAAAAATGAAAAAATGGAAGCCAAATGATTTCAGCACAGAAGTCACAGCGAGTAATGATTTGAGCGCTGCGGTGTAATTTCTTTTAACAACTGCATCGACGCCTTGGAAATTCCGCATTAGAGAGACGATGATCGCAGGTACCAATGCGATGCAATCTTGGAATACTCGCAGTACTGTAGTGCTGCAGCCCATGGAGCACTTCGTACAAGTATTTTCAATTGTCACACTGATTTTTGCTGCTCAAGCACAAAACTAGCCACAGACTTATCTGAATAGATGTCTGTTGTTGATGCATTGATAATTTTCTGGTGAAGCCATGCGGCAAGATGAGATAATAACATGAACGAAAATAATACAATTACGATTACAGAAGAGAAAGAATGCCTCGTCGAATGGGAAACGCACAGCAAATCCTTGCCTGACGTCAGACCTAACGCGTGGTGCCTTTGCGCCACCGAAAATCGTGAACAGTACCCATATTGCAAGCAAACAAGGCAAAAACTGGACGAGATGATCCAATCCGTTTCAGCTTCAATTGCACTTTCCGTATTTATTGCAGCACTGTGAAATTTTGCTGCAGGGATGGCGAGGTGACCAGGCGTGGAGCCGGGCGCTCTGCATGCCCTACTTCCGCATGTTCTGCTCGGAGTTCGTGGCCGTGCTCGAGGGCCTGGCGACCGGCGACGAGCACATGCAGTACAAGTGCGCCATGCTGACCAGGTACCTCCTGGCGCAACACATGTGGCACACCGCGTCCTTCCTCATGACGGAGAGCCTGCGCGCTGGCGCCCTGCTGTCCATGGGTTCGGCCTGTCTGAGGGAGGAAGACCTGGGGCCTGAGGCACTCAAGAGCCACTTTTTGAGCAGAGGGCGGTGAATGGCTGTGATTGCACCATGTGCGGCATATGGGCCCACGGGTATTGCGCTTTGAGGGTGGCGAAGGGCGGCATGGGGCGTCGACAGATTGCTTGCGTGAAGAGCACGTGTCCTAGTGCATTTCCAATGGGGTGCGGTAAGAAGGGCGGCTGTGTGTGGATCGTGTGGGGCAGTGTGGCGCGCTACTTTCCCTGCCCCATGACTAACCTTGCCTCTCCCTGCATTCTCAGAAGTTTGCCATTGTCACGTTGTACTTCTTAGAAATACGGAAGTGGCCGACACGTCTCCAAGCATCCGACGCACAGGTACAGGGATTTCTGTGCAAAAAGGCTGTGGTTGCATTGATTGGTCAAGGCTTCAAAATTTGGGTGGTTAGAGTTGGGAACTTTAGATTTTGCATGCTTAGGGGTTTCGCTGGCGCTTGGTACCCAAGAAATTTGTGCGCTGTGCAGACAGGGACAACATAGTTGCAGCATGAGTTCAGGTTGCCATCCTTGTAGGAGATATTCTTTTGAGCGCCCCACACGGGCAGCACAATGGATGGTTTGAAATTCAAGAGTCCCTTTGGCCAGTTTGTATCATAACGCACCCTTTGTTTCATGCTATTAATTTGACAGTTATTGGAAATCTGGTGCGCAATTTTATTCTCCTTCAATTATCTCGACCGCGAGGGACGACATGGCACTGCGTCTTCTTTGCTTCGAGGTGAATTAGTTCGAGGTGCGCACTCTCAAGGCCTTGAACGGTATCGAATTCATCTCTTATTGGAAGGCACTCGTGCTTTGCTTTGATGCCGGCCCTGAAAGAAACGTGCAGAATTAATCCTGGATGTGTTTTCTGACATTCTGAGGCAAATTATATTTGTGTTCTGCTGCGCGGTTGCCACCAACGCATGGGCAAGGATCAAGGGAGGGAAGGCGTGGTGGCGGTCGTTTGATCGGCAGGAGCACACGACATACTGGGACTTGTAGGAAGATCCAAGATCGTTGGAACACTAGCGTTGTTTTGGATGGCTAGATCAAGCGATTAGCAACCGGTGGAATGTTGTACACAAGCAATGGATATAAGTTGTACTTGCCTGGTGTGTAACAACGTGTTGAGTGCGTTGCATGTGGACAGAAGCCTTTTGTGTCTCCAATACCAACAAGAACGTAGTGCTTCCTGCATTCTGAGTCGGAGACGTTCATTGCAATGTGATGCGCGCCTTCTTCACTGCCTCCATCTGGATGGTATGGTATATCGGTATTGACTAGCAACTTTTGGTGTGGGCATATGTTCACCAATTATGCTTATCGCGAGAGTCTGCAATTAAGAAGGGCAGCGCGATTGCCACAGCAAAACAACAGAACATACCGCTATGCACAAAATGGATTACTATGTGCGTTGTGTGGTATCATGTGTCCAGTATGTGGTTTATGTACTTGCAAGATTTCTGCCTTACCGGTCTCCTTCAAACAACCCCATCCCACCCCACCCCCATTTTCCCCATAGGACAAGACGGCAAAACAAGATAAAGGGGGCCGCCAAGGGTCGCGCCCAAATAGCTGTTCCCCCTTGCTGCCAAACCACCCGCCAAACTCAAGGGGCAGCTTGACCGGTCCCCTTGTCTACGCCCAGGCTACAAGGATGACACGGTTGCCCCATGGGTCCGGCGGTCAGGACTGACCCCGGGCACAGAGGTGACAGAAACTGGTATTTGGTTGCTCTGAAATTGCCCCAAAGGGCAGGTCGTCCCAGAATGGCCAGTGCACGCCCACCCAACGTTGTCCTTGGCAAAAACTCATTAATAGAATTGTTAGTTATGCTTCTGGTCCGATATGCACATGCAAAAGCCGCTCTACTGCCTGTTTGATGCCTATGATATCATGAACATTGCGACATCAAAACAAGCACATTTTCAGCGCTTCATTTCTTGCAACATCATAACCCACCGTTTGTCGGGCAGGACTGTGGCCAGTCCACACTTTGGCGGCAAGAGTTTTTTCGTCGCATGGCTTTTGGCTCTTCTCGTATTTCAATTTCAATTCAGAATATTGCCTTGATCACAGAATTTATCATTGAAGATCTCCATCCATCGATTGCCTTGATCGCGAAATTTGCCGTGTGGTCCAAGTGTGCCGTGATCCAATTATGCGCCTCCACACAACAAGCACGCCTGGAATCAATCACAAAAATTCTTTCGTTGAAATGCGGATTTGCCTATGGGCCTTGAAATACATACTTCCACATAGAGAAAATACATATTTTATATACAGGAAACAAACTGCCTATATCCATCACACTGGTTAGTAAGTTCCCAGGGCGCCAGACTTGCAGACTGGCTCAGTATCATTTCATTCAACTTTCATTGCTCGAAAGTTTGTACCACATACGAAAGGAAGTGAGCCAGCTCCAGAACTGCGTCCACAACCGCTAGACTCTCCCTGCTCTTCCCACACCTTTGCAATCTCAAGTCCAGAACGTAGCGCCCCATGACGTCGAGTGGCGAGCGGGCATTGATGCCATCGCTCACTTTGCGACGCCCAGCACCCACTGTGCTTACAAGCGCTTTCCGTTGACATGGAACCCGTGCATATAATCGAGAATGGCCCCGAGATACGCTAGCCGACCTTCACCCACTCCACCCCCAACCCACCCTAGCCACAAACCCACCTGCTCCACCCCGAGCACTCCAGCCCGCGGTTGTCTCGAAACCACAACCAGAAGTTGTGAAATGCTGCCATGAGCTAGGAATTCCGCCAAATCTGGCGGCTGTTCAATGCAGTTAGAAGCTGTGTGCAATGGAATGTCCGAACAAAGCAGACCACAAATTTTGCATCTTTTGCACACAGTCGCCATGTTTAGAACGACATTGATATGCCAACTTGTGTTTCGGTCTGTGCATTGCCCCATCAATCGAAGCCCCAAGTAGCTCAGAGATGGCCGCAGGAAGTTCGAAGACTTAAAATTCACATGAATTTCGACTTTAAATTCATACTCGAAATATGGAGTTTGAAGGGCTGTCGGGGTCTGTGTGGCGGTTGTTTATGCTCGCACCTCGGGCCCCATTCTATCTTGTTTAGACAGGACGGAGAGATTGAGGCACTGGTAAAAATTAGACCATTTCACACCGTGTACAGTCATGTAAAATCATTTAAAATCGGGTAAATGGGATTAACTATCCTGTTAATGGGTTTCCGCCCAAGGCGACGAGGGGCGGGCGCGCTGGCTCCCGTTGGACCAGTGCTGCTTAAGTATTGTTGTTTTGGCGGCCCCCGGGGGTTTCTGTCCCCCTGTACCTTGGGTCAGTGGCCAGTTCGTCGCGTTCAAGGAGGGCCAAGGGATTTGGCGCCCTTGGGAGTGATGGGCTTTGGCGGGTGCGAGCGGGGGAGGCTATTTAGGCTCACCCCTCGGTCCCCACTCTATCTTGTCTCGCTTCCCGCCCGGCCCTCCCTATTAGTGTGATGTTCGGTTGTGTTGGGGCAAGTGTGGGAGTTAAGTACGAGGGAACGAGGAGTGGTGGGATTGACTCAAGGATGAGTCTTGTATAGGACTGGCTTAACTACTAGCGAAGTGACTGGGCACACAAGTTGTGGGTACCTCGGGTTGTTTTGGGACAAACACTGCTGTCTTTGTAATGTATTGGTCCAGTGTGTGTGTGGACCTGGGCGCGGGACAAGGAGCCCGGCTCGGCGGAAATATCGGGTACTTCGGAGCGCGACTTTGAAGACTGCTATAATCGCGTAGTTTTCAACCCTGTGTAGTACACGAAAGTGGCCCACCTTACCACCATGGACAACATGACGAAGAACACGGTTTTGCACCATATTAGCGGTGTACCAGCGGCCGCTGTATATTTTTGATCAACATACGATTGGTACACGTTGTTTACTCGATTTTTACACCGTTATTAACCTCACAACACAGTACTGTTCGGGTCGCCAATTGATAGCACTCATAGAACAGTTTGTGCATTAACGATATCACTCAGCTGGCGACCCGTGAGGTTTAGATATGGTGCAGAGGGGATGTCGACAGCCTCAGCACCTTCGCCACACTGATCATTATCAAATTGCAAGCTCAAAGCACTCAGAATTCAGGGAGATGACTTTGATGATAAATATAGCCTACGGAAAATTCATTATACGCTCAAAGAGTTCACTAAGATACTATGAAGATGCGGAGCACAACGTCAATATTTGGCAGCGCATCACATGGAGACACGTGAGTCAAACATGCACCGACTACGCCTTGGAATACTGAGAAGCACCCGGTTGCCACTGGACACGTGCGTTTGCGTAGGGGCTGCCCGCCTGGCGGCCTGCCGTGGACCGTAGGGAGGCGGAGCCAGGGCGGGCGCGTGGAGGCGCCACGTGGTTTTCTGATGGGAATATGCCCCGTGGGGCATAACGTAGTTGCTGATCGCGGGAAGTGTGTTTGTTGGGAATGTGGCACTTTGGGCACCGCGTGGTAGCTGATTGTTGGAAGTGGGGCGTCTTGGGTTGAGTTGTGGTGAAGCGGCGGGCGTGGTAGAAAGACTCTGGGTATCAAAGGAGCATCTCTTTGGAATGGGGGTATTTTTGCCAAAGGGGCGCGGACAGCGCCAGGGGAACTCTCAATTGTTGCACCCGGCATGGCAGCTGTAACAACGTTTGCACGGGGTCCATGTGTGTCTCGCGCGGCGGTCTAGGCGCTCGGCCTGGCTGCCTGGTCCCCCTGGCCGTGCGCGCCACGTTCGCCACGACCTGAGCGCAATAGCGCTCGAATTTTTTTAAGGTCGCGGCCAGTTTGGGCCTTGTTTTCAAGGCGTTTCCTTGCCGTTCGAGACCAGCACCTCCGGAGGCACTGTATCCAGCGTGGTATAGTTGCCGACCAGAAGGCGCCAAGCCTCGTCTTTGCACAGCCTTGTCGAGGCGGAGAGAAGCGTTTCGCGTGTCCTGCACCGACGTGCTGTGGACACGGCAGCCCTAACCCGTGGACCTGACCTCCTTTTTGACTTCGTCGACCGTTGAGGAGCAGTTG